AGGGGGTCAAAGTTAAATTAATTAAATAATCCAGAACGTATAAACTTTTAGATTTTGGATTTATTTTTTCCTCCTGAAGACCAGTTTGACTCTATGATTCTAATATCTCTGTGCAGGGAGTGTCTGTCTCAACCAGCAGTCTGATTCTATAAAATAATAAAATTATCCCAGCTGCTTTCATATCACCTCATTTTACTGTGAGGAGCGAGAAAAAAACTGAGGCTTTGAACTAACCAAGGGGGAAAATAAAGGCGGAACTGTCAGTTAAAACTGTGACAATCTGGAAACAGGCCAGATAATCTGCCTAGAAGCTGCACAACCGGATCTCTGACACATCTAGTAAATGTTTGCCTTATTTTTTCCTAGAAAGCATCATATTTTACCTACCGTTTTAGATAACCTGAACGCCTCATCCCATTAGCGGATCAGCGGTGTGGTTAGTTTAGAGACCGTCGGAGAAAAGGAAAAAGTAACTTTAAACTTTCCCACCTGGTGCAGCGCTGTCAGCCCGTCTACGTTGGCGTGGTTGATGTCGGCTCCTTGTCGGAGCAGCGCCGCCACCTCCTCCCGGTCTCCGGCGGAGCAGGCGGCCATAAACACGGCGCCCTGTGCGAACTGCACTTTAGCCCGCCGCGTCCCAGAACCGCCCGTGCTTTTCCGGCCCTCCGACCCCGTCCGGTCCGTCTCCGAGCCCAGCCATCGCTGGAGCTGATCCTGCCGTCGCTGTTTGGCAGCTTCGGAGCGGGAATGGTCCGTGGCCGCCATCTTCCCCTGGTGTGTCTCCCCCGGTCAGCTCCAGCTCATGGTAGGAGGAGAAGCAGCGGCGGAGTGCGGTGTTTAGATTGAGCCTTCTCAGCCCCCCTCCGCCACCAGAACCAGCACCACCCAGGCTGCGCCACCTGGTGGACGATCTCTGGAAGTGAAACCGCAAACTTTGCCGAGAACTTCATAAGCGTTGCCTTCAGGGACTGCTCGGAATTTAGAACTAACAACAGAAGCGCATGAATGTCCCAGAAGTTAACATCCGATAGGATAAATTATCTTTCAACCGTTGATTAAACTGCTTTTCTGTTGCATATATCAACAACTTTAACTGAATTACTTCATAAATATGAGGATAAATAAAAATGCTCTTTGGGATTTGTGACATAATTTTAAACCACCTCTTTAGTAAAAGCCTGAAGTGGATTTTAATCTCCATTTTTAAGTATTTAACATGACATTTTCTCGATTTACTCAAGAGACTGCTTCTTACGTCAGAGAGGCAGACACCCTGTCTACTTTTAAGGCTAGGCTTAAAACTTTCCTTTTTGATAAAGCTTCTAGTTAGAGTGGCTCAGGTTATCCCGAGCTATCTCTATAGTTCTGCTGCTATAGGCTTAGACTGCTGGAGGACATAGGGACCCCTTTTT